TCATAAATCCAACACAGTATCTGTTCCAACCTTTTAACTGCAACTGTAAGAACAATCTGTAGTTGGAAAAGATCCAGATAAAAACATGTGCATGGCTGAACCAAATTAGACCTCAGTGGCGTTACACATGCATTGCTGTGTGATTAGTTAGCAGGTTGCCACCTGCTGCTTACACAAGTAACAAATTTTAACCGTTTACTTTGTATGGTCTACAAGTTACAAGCAAGGGAAAAAAAAGAAAAAAAAAAATATATATATATATAATAATTGCCATACCATATACTAATGTTGTACGTTATTAATTTTTTTCACTTTTGATATTGGTTATATGTTTACACAAAGCCGTTGTTTAAGTGACTGCTGCAGATTGAACCCCACACCCTTTTCCTGGAAGATGTCTCCATGGAAACCGTGTTTTGGGAAGCCAATATTTCCAGAATCCTCAGACAATAACAAACATGTGACTCATAAAAAACACACGCAGACACACCGACATCCTTCAGCTCCACTTGTAATGTGAGAGGGGGATGCTGCCTGCCCCACCCTCCTACTTCCTTTAACACACATACCCTTGTACTTCTGTTGGTACGAGGACATTGTATTGACTTCCATTCATTTTAGTAAATGCATTTATGCCTAACCTTAACCAACCATTAACACACACACACACCCACACACACACACACACACACACACACACACGCACACACACACACACACGCCTACACACACCAACTCTTCTCCCAGATGCTATGGACAGAGGACTGATAACAGACTACCAAGCAGTTTCAGCCAAAACAACAGTAACACTCAGCATAGTCATACTGAAGCACAATTAAGTAACTATATTAACTTCAATTATTAAAAAAATCAAGTTATATCAAATAGAACTTTGCAGAAATTTGACTTCACAATTTTATCTCTTGAAATTAGTCTCTGTCTCTTTAAGTTGTTCCTACTCTTTCCGACACTCTGGCTTCCACATGAAGCCATTTACAACTGTTCCTATTATGAGTGTTGGTCTGAGAAGTAGCTCAGATGTTTGCTAACTGCTGCTGCCACTAGTCTGGACGATCTCAGAGAGGGAGTAATAGTCCTACCTGCGTTATAAATCTCTGCAGCTCCTCCAGAGTGACTGTGGGGTTACTGATTGTGACTGATTAATGCTCTACCTGCCTGACCTGTCAATTCAGCACGATCTCATTTCTTGTCAGTTTTGCAGTTGTCATTTGGGATTATGAATGGGACAGTGGTCTGTCAGATGAATCCTGCTGATCCAAGCTGTGTTCTTTGTAACTCGGTTTCTTCTGTAATGTTTTTTAAAGACATTAATGAGCCTTTGAGCCCTTCACTGCCTCAGCAGTGCTGCTGTGGATATTTAGCTTATTGCACAAATCACAATAGTAGTAGAAATGTATTTATGTATTTTGCAATGTGTTCTACATCTGGCTAGCTTTGCGGTGGAAGTACCATTATTATTTGACAGGCTCCTTCATTGTCCAATTTTACAACCCATTTGAAAACCCAACTGAGACTTGATTTTACTTAACTTTTATTGGTATTGATTTGATCCGTTTAACTGTGCCGTTTTATTGCATTTTGAATTGAACTTCTTTCATTCATTATTGTATGCTTAACTTTGTTACTTTATTGTTATGCTTTATTTACCTTATTTATCACGTACATGCAGTACTTTTTTTCAGCTGTGGCTGGTGTTAAAATAAGTTATAAATACATGTCAGTTTTTCAGAATGGCCAGATGTGGCAGCACATTCTGGATGATCAGAGTTTTGACTGCACAGTCTGGAATTGCACTAATAAACAAAGGCAGCTAAAGCAATACTTCCCAGTAAGTAATGGTTTCATCCAGAAGATGAAATATTGTCTTTGCTGCATGGAAATGAAGCTGCATAACAGTCATAAGACTGTCATACATCAACAGTGTGTCAAGAAGCCTCAGGCTTCTTCAGATTTGGTGCAAGACTGACAGCTACCAGACATTCATCCCTCCCACATCATCATCATCCATAATAACAATTTGAATTTTTGAATGATATGACAACATTTCGTTTTCCTTTGGGATAAAACAGAGTTTTGGATTGAACTGATTCAATAGTGCAAAGAGGAATAAGTGAATAAAATTACAGTTGCTCAGACAAAGACCAGTGATGTTTGATTTCTGCTTTGCATTTAGAGATATAATAATAATAATAATAATAATAATAATAATAATAATAATAATAATAATAATAATAATAATAATAATAAGTATTATTATTATTATACAAATAATATTAATAATAATAATAATGCATATTATTATTATTATTATTATTATTATTATTATTATTATTATTATTATTGGCCTGACATCAATAGTTCAGCTATTTAAAAACAATATTTCAATCCTCTAATCAGTTCTTTAAAAAAATACAATAAAAGAAAAACATTAAAGATAAGCAACACATGTAAAACAAAATTGCAGAAGTGTAGCCCTAACTTAGTCTAATATCGACAGTGAAAAATAATATTGGACAGAAAGTCCTTCCCTCCAATTAGTTGAGCTTGAAAAGAATTAGGCTCTGCTGTGTTCAGCCATCTCTCATGACTTCCGGGATCTGTGCCATGTTCAGGGTGGCATCAGTTGTAAGTAAATATGAGGTCATGAAAATGAACGACAGGCCTCTTCCCTTTTAACAATTAGATGGTCTGATAGGCGAGCAGAGTAGGAGTGAGCTGCAGCCACCGCTCTGTCTGATGAGATTAGTCACCAGGACCTCTCCTCTCAAACTAATTTGAAAAATGCATCTTCGTCTAACCAGCCCCATCCTTCCTTATCTGCTGCTTCATGGCTGGACCTGCGGAAGGAGGAAACCAAGAGGCTGACTAGTCACACTAAATCAGAAAGGAACTGTAATGCTGATAAATAGCAAAATAATTTTCCTGGCTCAAAACAACACCAGGTTAATGTTACTGTTGTTTCTTACTCTTTTAACCATCTTTACAGTCTTCTGTTCAAAACACATTTCAATTTATCTTTTGAAGTGACCTCTCGACTTTGGACATTTGCATGGACAGATATTTTACTGTGTATTTATGCCTTGCTGCGTGATTGCTGCAGATGGTGTGTCTTTTGCACTTTTGCAGCCAAATATTGCCATTTTGTTCAAACCTATTTTCAATTTAAATTCTAGCAGTATTCAACTATATACACTCTCAAATCTAATAAATCATTTGACTTAATTGCATGTCATTTTCTGATTATTTTATACTAAGCCATGTTTCCTAAAATTATGTGTGAGTACTTCTTTAAACAATTAGTAGTTACTAATTGACTAACTGGTCTCCATCTACCTCTTATTTCTGTTCTGTTCTGAGACAACCAAACTTTCCAAAGTATAAACCAGCTCGCCTTAAACATGTTTCCTCCTCTTTGTGCCTTTAAATTGTTGTTTTCTGTCCAGCTTGATGTCCAAACCACGTGAAGCTTCTCAAGAGATTAACTCAACAAGTTGAGGAGGAATTTTTCATTTCTTTCTCTTCTTGTAACAAAAATCTGGAACACTGCCAGGAAACCAGACCCACCAAACTGTTTTTGCATCTTCACATCACAGAAACTCACATATCTTCACTTCCATGGACATTTATTGATGCCAAATATTAGGGCTTTATTACTTGCGGTTTTCAGAGTTGCATCATTAAAAATAAGTTTTAGTTGTCAAAATACTAAAACTAACTGATTTGGTTTTTGACTTGTGCTTTTTCCCAAGCGATACTAAAACTATTCCCATAAAAGTAGAACTTTAAAAATACATATATTTTTTATTTTTACTGAAAGCACACTGACATCATGACTCAAGTAGCACAAAAAAAAAAAAAAAAAAAAACCTTATGGAATGGAAGGATTTAGCCTCGGTCTGCAGATGGGAGTGATTTCCCGCAGCAGCTGTGTTTAACAGATGCAGAAATAGCGTGTCGCATCTCGTTGCTTCTGGCAGGCTAATAACTGCTAGTTTGAGAAGCACAGATCCTCCACGGTCAGGGTGACACGATGGATGATTGTTTGCCAAAATTAATTATTAACCCTCCTGTTATTTTCGTTTCTGAGGTACAGCAATAATGTTCGTGGGTCAATTTGACCCGGGGAGTGTTTAATCATGCAATAGAGTGAGAAACCAAAAAATTTCTCCAAAATATATTGACTGATTATTAAGTCCAATATGAACCATTTCAATCAATATTTATGCAATGATGTTAATAATAATTTGAGTGAAACAGAAATAAAACTGAAGTTATTTTCTTTGGATCTAAAGAGGAACAGTCCAAAGTCAGCATGCAGTTTCAGTTGTTACAGTTAGAAACTAGAAATCGGGTCTGAATATTCAGAGATACATATCAGCCTTCTAACACCCAAGAAGGTGGGTCTGTGTTTAAAAGACAAATGTGGCAGCAGGATCTGGAGATATTCATCCCATCGTTTATCTTTAGTCGCATTGATTACTGCAGCAGTGTCTTCACAGGTCTGCCTAAAATGTCAGCCGGCTGCAGCTGATCCATGCAGAGTAGAGCACATAACCCACCTCCAGAGCTCCTATAGCTCCAGTGTCCACTGTGGCTCAAAAATAGACTTAAAATATTGTTGCTCCACAAATCAGTAACAAACTTCCAGAAAGTACCAGAACAGCTGAAACACTGAGTTCCTTTAAATCAAGGATAAAGGCTGCCTGTTGGAGTTGTCTTTGGTCAGTTCTAAATGGGACACTGATCAACATGATGAGTATCAATAATTTTGATGATAATTAACTAAATATAATGCTTATTGCTTGTTTTATGGTGACTGCATAATGGTTTTGAAGAAAAGCACTTTGAAGTGCCTTGTTGCTGAAATGTGCTACACAAATAAACTTGAACTTGAAATGTTTTGACAACTTGTGATCGTCTCAGATAACTCCAGCACCAACAACTGAAGCAGCTTTCTCTCTTCTTCTGTGTATTTGCAGATATGTCTGATGTCCCTTGAGATTTGGGAGTCCCTTACCCCGGTGCCACTGCTGGCTCCCCAGAATGGAGCACACTCATTCCCTGAGAAATGAGCAGGACTCAGTACTCTCACTTGACCAGATACGGGCCATTCGGGCCAACAATGACTATGTGGACAGACCAGTGGCGCTGGAACCAGCATCCCAGTCTGGATTCTACTATGCCCACGAGGACCGTATAGTATACAGCCACCACCCCCATCCTTCTTCTTTCTCCTCTGCTCTGTCCCGCAGTCAAAGTCAGCAGCAGCATGCTCATCTGGCACACCTGAGCCGGTCCAGCACCGTGAGCTCCTCGATTTCTCGGACCAGTGCCACATCCGATCAGCGGCTTCTGGCAGGTTTGACGCCATCTCACTCTGGACTCAGTTCAGTCATCCACTCTCAGCCTAAAGGGGAGCTTAAGTCTAACACTTCCTTCGGTAAAGGCCTGACAGACGAGGAGACAGAACATTTGTTCATCTGTGAACGATGTGGCCGCTGCAAGTGTCAAGAATGCTGCAGTCCCCGCCGCCTGCCTTCATGCTGGGCCTGTGAGCAACGTTGTCTTTGCTCTGCCGAGAGCGCTGTGGAGTATGGTACATGCTTGTGTTGTGTGAAAGGCCTGTTCTATCACTGTTCTGCCCAAGATGACGAGGATAACTGTGCTGATCGGCCGTGCTCCTGTGCTGCTGCCCACGCCTGCGCTCGTTGGAGCACCATGGCGCTGCTGGCGCTCTGTCTGCCCTGCCTCTGCTGCTACCCCCCTGCCAGGATGTGTCTTGCACTTTGCCAGTGCGTCCATGACCGAGCAACACGGCCTGGCTGCAGGTGCAGCAACACCAACACAGTGTGCCGCAAAATTTCTGCCTCCAACCCTAATGCCGGTCATCCACCGCTACGAAGTAAAGACCTGGAAAAGTCGCTATGACACCTTTAGATTTGGGGAGAAAATCAAACCAAAAAAAAAACATTAGGACATTGTGATCCACCTGCCTACAAATCCCAATCTAACAAACCCAACGTCAAGTGTTGTTCTCCTAAAATACTTTGAATTTAGATCTCCAACTCAGGGGGGACCAAAGACCTACTGTGCCTGTTCATGTTGGAGACTTAATGCCTGAACGCAAGAGCTCTACCTTCAACCCAGACTCTCAGACAAGAACAACCTCTCTTTGCCTTCTGTCTTGTTATCTCAGCGTGATAAAATCTATTTATTTATTGTTAAACCTCCTTCCTCCCCACCCTTTGCAAAAGATTCTAGTGGAGCACAGAGAAGAGTGACCGGCCCGCAGCAGTGTGTACAATCTTCGCCAACAAGTGTTTCATTCTTCAGAAACAGAATTTTAGAGCAAGGACTGAAACTGATGTCCTGAGCACTTATTACAATCTACTGACAAGAAGGGAACAAATTCAATCTTTTTGCTTCGTTGATTGCTTTACCTGGGTTAAGCAAAGCATAAAGACCATAAAGTGACTGTCTTCACAATCTGAAACCAAACAGTGGGACCATCCACTGTACTGACTAAGTGAATTTAAATGCTATTAAGCTCATTTGTAAAAGAAAAGCACTGTGAGGTGGATGGACGATGTTTTCCACCCAGAACTGAACCGGGGATTGTTAATCCAGAGAAGATGCATCCATTGTGTCAGGGCAGCGTGTGAATGTCCTCCTACTGTACAACCTGTGTGTATGTGTGTGTGTGTGTGTGTGTGTGTGGGTGTGTGTGTGTGTGTGTGTGTGTGTGTGTGTGTGTGTGTGTGTGTGTGTGTGTGTTGTTTTGTCAGCAGAAGACTCCCTTGTCTTTATTTTTAGCTGTGCTGCTTTTGTCAAGCTCCAGGAGTCTGGTCAGGTTTCCTCTTGAAGTCAGTCTGTCGCCAGCCTCACCCCACTGACCGACCTCCATCTTCCTTCTCCACTCCTCTTTTTTTATCTATTTACTCATCCACCAATCAGGTGATACCTTGGTTTTTGAGGGTTAGATTTGTTAATAAACAAAATTACCCCGAGAAGAGCTTGCCTTTTGATCTTTTGAAGTTTTCGGTCATAATGACATCTGACGAAGGCTCAACCCAGACAGATGGAAGAGAACTAAGACAATCCAACTAGAAAGTAGACACGAGGCATTTATATTGTATCTCCCTCCTGCCTCATCTGTCTTCCCTCTAAAGCTCAGACGGCTAAAAGCCTCCAGTTCCAGGCCCACAGAGAGTTGATCAAACAGGCAATTAGCTTCCTGTTAGCTCTTAATGGGCCATAGAAGACCGGAGTGTGGGAGGGAGGGAGGAGAGCGGACAGGATGCAGGAGGAGTTGTGGTGTTTGGCAGATGGAGAGAGGGATGCTAAGAGGGGGAAAAAGAGGTGGTTGATGTTGCAATGAGATCATCCCTTTTTTTCTATTTCAGCACTTCAGGCTTCAATGAAAGAGAAATGCAACATTCTCAAAAAGGGGGAATCTAAGGCGAATGAATACAACAGTCACACGAGTGTGGGTGTGTATTTGTGTGAAGGGTTGGGCGTGTGCAGATGTTTTCCAGTGTATGTGCGTGTGTGTAGGTTTCAGAATGAATATGTTTTAGCTTGTCTGTGCATGAATAAGCACAGACGTACACATTGACCTGATATATTATTTTGATATATTTTTATATGTAATTGTGGACCTTCAGCTGTATAGCTATTTTTATTCAGTTTTATTTTCAGACAATGATATTGTTTTCCATTAAAGTGAGAAATTTTCTGTGTTACTACACAATTGTGATCTTTTCTGAAAATTTTTAGGGCAACTCTCACAAGCATCCTGGGTTTTAGAAACAAGTCTAACACCCAGTTGATATGTGCAGTTAGTGACAAATGGATCTTGCCTTGTGCACCTGGTCCCACAGTGAACCCCATCAGAAGAAACATATGAAGGTCCATGTCTTAATTAACTATTTTCGTTGCACACTGAGGCGTTTCATTGTTTTTTCCTCCTTTTGTAATTTTGTCGTAAGACAAAGAATGAAAATGAGCTATCATGCCAAAAATCATGGTAATGTTGACTGTCCGAAATGTCATGTTTGTTAGCAACCAGCTGCAGCTCCTGTTACCTGGGCAGATAGCCTGACCAGCTAACATAGGCTTGTTGTGTCAGTTAATAAAGACAAAAATGGGAAAAAGTTTTCAAGTGCTAATTCTGCACAATTAGCACTTGAAAACTTCAGAGTATAATACAAATAACGAGAAATACATATTCCATCACTATAATGTTATTATAGCAGCATTTGTCATTGTCTATGTTATGAAGCGGCACTGTCCAGGGTTTGTCTGAGAGTTGCCCTAGATTTTTCCATACTTCACTGATCCTACACTGAAAGTTGAGTTTTGACTTTTTAATGTTTTCCTCCTCTTTTGTTTGTAAGTCACAATGTTGCAACTTTTTTTGCATTTACTATTGTCTACGCCATAATTACTGCAAATAGTTCAAACAACATAATCAGATTCTCAGTAATCAAATCCCTAAATGTTACGTCCACATCAATGAAGATACAGATGAGGACCCATTTTTATATTTTAGACACATAAAACAATGCTTCTGAAAACAAAAAGAAGTTCCTTATTGGAGCCAGTTTTGATTCTTTGCTGGTATAATGCATGTGTCTGTGAATAACTATGCTTCAAAAGCAGCAGAACAGCTTGGGTGCCTGATTTAAAAACAGAAGCATGCTGTGGTAAACATTTTTAAAATAATGTTTTTCAGCTGCATCTTCATTGTTGTGGGCCCAGTGGATTCTGCACAGAATCTCCTCTTCAATGGCTGAATGCCTGCAGTCAAACCTTGGTGCTTATGAAGACCATGAGAGGAACAATGGTTTCATTCTGGATACGTTTTAGCTTGAACTCTTTAGCTGCTCGGTTTGTTATGTTCAGAAACACACAGAGAAAGTTAATGCAGTTCCACACAAACTTAGTTTAAATTAATGGTTTTTAAGAGTTCATAGTTTTACTGACACATCTGGACTGAAACCTGCCAAACTAATTAATGTTCTGAAACATGAACTGAGTTCAAAAAGCTGCAGCAAAGTGTTAACCTTTTTTTTCATTTTACCCTCCATCTTTCCTCCCATTTTCCTCTCCTAACTTTATTCCTGTTGCTTTCCTGCATCTTTCCATCTTTTTCTTCTTTCTCATTTTCTTTTTTACTTCTTTTCCTTCTTCTTCCTGTGTCCTTCTTTTCTTTTGAAAATTTTCCTTCTTCATCCTCCATTTCCTTCTTTCCTTTCTCTCTTTATTCCCTCTTTTCAGTTTGCTTTTTCTTCCTCATCCTTCTGTCCCTCTTTCTGTCCTTTTTACATTGTGAACAAACGTCATCTCCAATTTTACCCTATAAATACAGTCAAATTCTGGCAAACACAGCTGCTGGTATTTTCCCATAAATTAGTGACATTTTTTTTTACAGTGCTCTCTTTCATTCTTCCTCCTCTTTTCATTACTTCTAATTCCTTGCTTCCTCGCACCTTAGATGTCTTCCTTCCTGTATTATATTTAGATGCTTTTCTCAATAGATATATTTTCTGTAAAATCACAAAAAACACTTTCAATTTGCAAACCAAAAAATGTCAAAACTTTGACGAAGAATTAATTTCAGTTGAAAGAGTTTTGAAAGAGTTTTGGTTAGCATGCTGCTCTTGCTGCTCTTCATCCTCCACAACTCGCCTTACCAGATGATTCTGTATGTCTGTCTGAATTCAGTCCTTTGCATCGTCAGGAATCTGCCTGCTGCTAAATGTTTGAAGGCTCCCACAGTAACCACTCCACTTCTCCTTGGGTTGCAGCATCTTTCCTGGTGCTGGTTGGCATCTTGTAAGTTGTTAATAAAAATTTAGGGAGAATATATAGAACAAAACAAATAGAAATTTATCTAAAAAAAAAAAATCTGCAATATGCATTTCACAGTTGGTTACACTGCTGTTTTTGCTTCATCTATATATTTATTTGAATGGTTGCAACAATTGTGCTAACATTAACCATATTGTATTTGTTTTGCAGCACTCTGTGAAAGTGAAGAGCACCAATGTTGTTGTTTGAGTTTCTTGTTCCTCTCAGTGTTGTGTGGCTGCTGCTGCTGCCCTCCAGGCAAAAGACGAACCAATAAAAGAACAGTTTTCAAACAAAAGCGGAGTTCATATGGTCTGATTTTATCATGCAGCTGTTCCATCTCACCAGCAATCAAGACGACAGTTTTATTCCAACAATGAGGCCAGACTGACTTCCATTCATCCTTTCTTCTCTAAGGTTGAGTCATCAACCGTCTCCTGAACATTCTGCAGGATTGCACTTGCAGGTGAGAACTGCAAGGCAAGGACCTAGCACACTGCAAAACACAAAAAAGATTTTTTCATCTACTTTCTAGTGAAATAAAGAAAACTAACTTACAAGTACCTTTTTAGGAAAATTTAGAAGCTTATGCCAATAATTCATTAATATTGATTAAAAAAGTACTGCCTCCACTGGCACTTGACATGAAATCATGTTAAGTGATTTCACTTAACATGAGAAAATGTCTTGCTATAAGTGAAATCATCTGCCAGTGGAACTACTACTTTTTATTAAGGAATTATTTATGTAACATAAGCTCCTGTATGTTGTTTGTTTTACTTAGATGAAGTCATAAGTCTCATAAGCTGCTTCTCAAATATCAGCTGGTTTCAGCAGACAGACCCTTACAATGAGCCTGGTTCTGCTGAAGGTTTCTTCCTCTTTAAAAGAGACTTTCTTCTCTCACTGTTTCTACATTCTTGCTCACTGTGAGGGATTGCTTCAGAGTCGGTGGCTGCTGTTTCCATATTCATACTTGGAGAAGTGCTGCAAGTAAATTAATTGATGCAATCAATGGGGAATGTCATCATTTTGGAGTAAAATGTCAATCTGTGTTCTTTCAAATAGTAAAACGCTTTGAGGTCAGGTTCTTTTGAAACGGCACTCTCTTAGTTTGATAGGACGTGTTCCAGTAACTGCCTGTCAAGATTCGATAAGTGTCTAACCTATTAATAGAAATAAAGTTGTAAATAGATCAGACTGCATTGAACCAATAGAAGTATATTGTAATCTCCAAAATTCTGTATAAAAAATGAATTCCAAAAAAATCAACCTCTTAACTGAATTTAATGTCACATAAGATCTGTCCCTTCCAGTAGGACTCTCTGTTTACCATTAGAGCTCCGCCCCTAAAAGTCCAAAGACAAGGGCATTTTTATCAAAAACAAAAAAATTTAATTAAACACAATTATGTTGGGAAATCAGTTTTAAAGTTAGGTGGGTCATTACTAAAATTTTCATTATCAGTTTATCAGTATGACAATGTAAAGAGAAATGTATGATGAGGGTGTCATATTGCATAAAATAACAAGCCACAAAATGACAGCAATCAAGGCAACAAGACAGTCCAATTTATTTATTTATTTTTCTTTTTCTTGCACACAAAACAAAATGCAAAGCAAGGCAAATTATGAGGAGTAACAAAACAAAATAGAGTACCAACATTTAAATTGACTTAGACTTAGACTTCCTTTATTGTCATTGTACAAAAAAAACACAAGGTGAATCTTGACAACGAAATGTCATTACTTGTCTACCAGTGTAGCAGAGCTAAAACCTTATACTACACAATAAATTGATGTATTGTGACCTATACCTATATATTGTGATATATACCTATAGTAAGTTTTGGTTGTGTTCCAGCATCCATGTTGGCCTCAGAAAACCCTTCATTCACAATTCCATTTGATTTACAAATGGATCACTACTGGTGTCCATTAGAGCGTCTGATTTCCCTAAAGCTTGATTTGCTATGAAGATCCTGAACATGACCCATTCTGACCTAACCTGCAATCAAGTTAACCATCTCCTGAACCAGGGTGTGGATTCAGTGCGCTTGTGTTTTTGCTGCCTTGTTGTGAACGTTAACATCATCTGCAGTTAAAATCCAAGGGAGGAGTCAAACAACAGTTTGCTCCCCCATCCTGATGCTTCACTCCCCTCAATGTACTGTGTTGGGCCCATAAATAAGTAATCACATCTGGCTCAGACTAATGGCTTCCTAAAGCAGTGAATATAAATGGATGGGTGTTACAGAAACACAAAAAGAGTCCTAGAAGAAATATATTTGAATGGGAACACACCAGAGTGTGTCGTGTTTGTTTATGCAAATTTGTTCCCTTTTTATTACCTAAAATCAGAATGCTTCTCAGCAAACTAAATGCACCTTTTCCTCTGCACCCGCCTCCAGCAACCTCAAATAAACCATGACGACACTCGACATTCAGCCCTCCACATGCACCTATACGTGAAATAGCAGTTAACACACACACACACTCTGCTGACCGAGCAATGAAAGTGTCATAAAAAACATCAATAATGCACGCTCGCCACAAGCTTTTACCAATAAACCCCATTTACCAGCTCACAATTCTGTGATGCCATGTCTGGGGTGACATTCGGACACAAACACAGAGATCCAGATCATTGCCGTATGGGACTTGAACTGCATTTTGTCCTCAAATCAAATGGTAAAACAATATTTACAGTTTTCCCTCCATCCCAATATTTTTCAGCACATATTCAACTACAAGTTGAGGAAGATGTAGAAAAACTAGTTAAACTGACTCCGTTATTGTCAAAGTTTCTGTTACAGAATAGGAAAATTTGCATGAAATCCAGTTGCATAATTATTTCTAAACCTACATTATAAATCATTTTTCTCATCCTCTGTGTATAATGACTAAGAAAATAAATATGAAAAGAACATTTGACAGAAGACAGAAGACATCAGAATCTTGTGTAAATCACTAGCTTTCCAGCCCTGCCATACACTCAGACTTGTGGTTATTAGTTGTGGGCTTTTATTTTTATTTTGCTGGATCATCCACCCATCAAGAGTCTGTGTTAATCACTAACTCTCACCGGCAAGTGAAAGAAACCAGTGAAAGATGGATAAATGACAGGGAGCCGCTACACAAGGAATCCAGATTTATTCAAAGACACTTTAAAAATGATAACTTTTAATCTCACAATGACAACATGAGTCCAGGAATGTCACACTCACATCTGTTACCCAAGAAGAAAAAAAATTAGCCCTGAAGAAACTACAAGAAATGCACTGAAGTTGTTTAGGACTTAAGTTCAAACACTGTAATGAAAGCATTCATCCATATTTTCTCCAGCTATTGCTTTCTGTCTTCACTTCACCTTAGTACATCAGCTAAAAAAAATACGAAAATTTGAATGTGTTTGAATGTAATAATGATTCTTGACAATAAATGTTATTCTATTTGAAAGTCTCATTATTTCCCTTGAAATGGTCACACGTTTGAAGATGAAGGATTTCTGTTTTCAGCTGTAATGAGTTGCACAAATGAGAAACTTACCAAGCCCTCTCTTCCAATTCCAAACAACTTATTCTGCTATTGACTCTTGTTCAACATTATTATTACTTTTAGAATTCATCTGAAGCAAAAGTCTGTACAACAGACTTTAGAGGTTTTATTACCTGTAATTGGATAGTCTATCTTTTTAATGCTCAAAGAGACATGCACATTATGTACATTTTTTTATTTAACCAACTCAGTTGAACATTTCTCCCTCAAAAATTACAACTGAGATGCTGTGGATAATTTAACCTCAGTTTTAGAAGTGGACAGTGAGACGACTGGAGCTCAAATAGAAAAACCTCGGAACAAGTCAGGGTGCACAGATGGAGGAGGGTGGGAACGCTGTCAGGTCAAGAGGTCAGGAGAGAGGTTTTAACTCTCTTCCTGTTTCTTCTGCTGGGATGACAAACATCTCCTCTCCCTAGCCTCTGGAAATCACATCCATCATCACACTCATTCCTCCCAAATTGTTTTTCCAGCAACTCAAATTTCAGATGTTTCTTAGAGGAAGCACAAAGATTTATTTAAATGCTTTGACCTTATCAGATATGTTTTCAAATTTGATTTTCTAAAGACTGATTCTAGCTACTCTTATGAAACGTGAAAAAACAAAAACAGAGTTTACTCTCGGGTCTGTTGGCTTCATAGATTTTAGCCTAAGTGCAAAAAGCTTAGTGCATTATAGTATTTGTCAAAGGGGCAGAATTGTGTATTTTCCAGTCAAATAGTATCATTTTATAGCAAAATTATGCTACTATTTTACAAAAACAGTCTTTATAAAAAAAGTTGTATAAATCAAATATGACTCAGAAGAAATGTTACATCATGTTTTAACGCCTTGAAATTGGACCTCTAAAACCTCCTGCTCTTTCTGAAACTCTGCAGTGAGGAAGTCATCACAACAGTGCTCCTATTAACCCTTTAATAAAGTTTTTACCATCAGGTGTTTGCTAATTGCTGATGGCTAGTCTGAAGGAGTTGTGTGGAGGAGTCATGTGGGAGGGCTGCTTTGTAAGCTTGGAAACCACAGCTCCCAGAAACAGCATCCTGATCACGTCCATGAACACACAAACCAAAACCATTTAGATGCAACTATGTCAGCCACGTCATCAACCTGACATTTTACCACATCCTGTTCAAAACGAAAAACAAATAAATAACATAACATGGTTATTGTTTCTAGTACCTTTATCATTTCCATTCCACTGTTGTCTATACACAATGGAAAACGTTTTTGGAAACGTTGCGTAAACAGAGCCAAAGTGGGCACAACTGTACAATACTTTATGTTGACTAGTCACATAGTGTAAAATTTTAATTGAAATACTATTTGTGATTGAAATGAGACAAAATGTGAGAAAGTTCAAAGGTGCAAAAATATTTTCACAAAGCATCCTAAAATATAATAATACAAACTATTCCAAAGTAACATTTCTTTAATTACATTTAGGTATAAAAAGTAAAAAAAAAAAGATATATGCATATTTCTTGAACTCTATTGTTTTTAACTCTAATGTAGGTTGTGACCAGCACCAATCTGAGCATTGCTGCTCTGAAGGTTTGCATCCTGTGGACAACGCAGGGAGGAAGTGATTGAATAATTCAACATATTTCCTGGACAGTAATGGCCCATGGTGCTGATGATGGTGTGGTATTGAGCAATGAGGTTAAGTGCTCTGAGCGCTCAGCCAACCATCCAACCAGCCAACCAATCATCTGTCTGTCCATCCGTCATGGTTGG